GATTTTAATTGGAAATTGGAATTGGGAGGATATGTGGAAATATGCATGGGTTGGCTTTCATATATAGAGCGAGTGGTGGTTTGTTTTCGTGTTGACTAAGGGACATGAAGAGTTCAGACACGTCAATTTGAACATGTCAACTTGGTGTGAAAGCTTTTCTCATACTGAATTTTCCCAAAAAACATGTTCGGTCTTCGAGTTGAAAGGGTAATTTCGGTAGAGGAGTGAGTAAAAGTTATTGAATTCTGACTTCTAGGATTCAAGTTTTGACTTCACCACTAATTTAACTTATTGGACCATGAAGGACATGTATGACCTTTATACATGTTTTATCCATAAGGTAAGAAGAAAAAAAATTAGACATACAAACTTGTTTTAGGTTGATTTTCTATCTTCTGTTATTAGTTATTTTTTAGATTGTTCTTTCAATTTTATAATATAAAAAAGAACTTAAAATATAAAAATAAAATAATAAATGCAATATATATATGGTGTGGTTCTAATAAAAACCTTTCTTAGTGTAAGAACTAAGAACCAATTCTAACCCTTTATTATACTAATCTATTGTCTATATTTATTCATAATATTAGCAATTTTAAGGACAAGAATATGATGGTCAACAATTAGAGCATATCCAATGCTCCACTTTCAACATTAATTAAATTTGAACACATGTCAAATGGTGAATGGAATCTAAATCCATGTAATATGAATGTCAAAAGGAAAGACTTTAATTTGGAATGCATATCTCCAATGCATCCCTTTCAAAAGTTTAAAATAAGTTAGATTTTTTATGAGTTGGCTTTCAAACACACTTTGGAAAACTAGAAAGTGGGCTTCAGATATTTATTTTCTCCATGTCAGCATAAAAGAGTCCATAACATTATAGATTGGAGAGTAATTTTTGTAATTACTTTATAACTTGATGATGTGGCTAACATTTTATTAAGTCAACATCTCACATTGAGATGCTCTAAGAGTAATATAGGAGAGTCAAACTTTTAAGAACCCTACCTTAGTTGCAACTCCATATTTTAGGGAAGTCATATAAGTCCATAGAAGGAAACTCAAAACGACATATATTATGAACATGAGGGAATACTAAAATTTTCAATTAAATCTGAAACAAGTTTACGACGTATTTAACTCTTACTTCGATATTTTTTTCTAGAATAAAAGAATAACAAAAGGTATTTATTAAAAAGTATCACTATAAACTTGAATGAGCATATAAAATAATGATAATAATAACAATAATAATAATTGATATCGGATACTATACCCTGGTAAAACAAATACAATAAACCGGCCAACTAAGCCAAGTGAACCGGCTGGTCGAACAGAACAACATGAAGGTCGTCGGTGGTGAAATTTTATTCAAGTTATGGGATTCAAGATGAAATTTTATTTTATTTTTAATTTGGGTACGACTATGGTTATTGAATTCTTCTCCCATAATCATATGCATACCATGTTTTTTTTATTCATTTCGTGAACTTGTGTTGTACTTTTATGATTTTTGGGTTTAAAATATGCTTGAGAAGCCATTTTAATGGCTGAACCCAGGTTGTTCTTTAGTCTTGTATATGTTATGAAGATATGTGTTTCCTATTTTTTCGAAAAAAAATAAAAATAACTTTTAAAAATATTAAATATCTTTTACTCCAAAATTTGGACATTCTTGTACTTTCACACTGTCCTGAGCCTCCAACCAGCATGCATCCACAAGGCGTCGGGTTAATAAATGACGAAATGCCACGTGGCTGTTATCCATTCAAATTCAAAGCAGTTCATAAACAAAAAAAAATAGCATTTTCTTCAACTTCCTCCGTGTATGAAAATGGCAGCATTATCATCGTTGCAACTTCCTCTGTGTAAGCACAATTCTTTTCTTTTCTTTTTATTTTATTTTATTTTTTTTTATTTTTGCAACTGCATTTCATTATTTTTCCGAAAACTGAATTCATATCATCCGTTTAATCATTTGTTCAATCGAATTAATCCAGAATTTGTGATAAAAGAAAAAGGTGTAATACAGAGTAATTAACACAATCTGGGTATCTTGTTTATGTTTTCTTTAGGTTGTAATTTTGGCAGAATCAACAACTCCTTTAATCGACAAAGGGTGTACGGATTCAACATTGTGGCTGGAATAAAGTCCTTAGCTTCAACAATTCGACCACTAATTAGGACTAATGAGCTCGATTGGGACGAGTGTGGTTCGTTTGTGGGCCGTAGGAATTTTTTCGGGCTTGGGCTTATTGGAGTTTCGACCCTTTTGAGAAGTTCTACTTTTGTGGAGGCAGCCGGATTGCCGCCCGAGGAGAAACCGAGGCTATGCGACGACACGTGTGAGAAAGAGCTTGAAAATGTATGGTGAGATTACATACATCCTTCAACTTCTATGAGATTTCTTGGTTCTATTTTGTGATGGTGTGCTTTTATGTCTTTTAGTTGTTTTGTCTTGTGGGATGTCGCGTAATCGTTTCCTTTTAAATGAAAATGAAAAATCGAGGAAATGTGCTGAAGTAATTGTTGCAATGGTGGAATGGTTAGGTTAACCTTTTCTTACTTTGATTGGTTGTCACGAAAGTTCACTATGCTCTGCACGCCGAAAAATTATTTTTAAGTTTCTTACAACCAAGGATTTTTGTTTAGCGATGGTAAGGAACCACGTAATGATACTAGGAAAGTTTTCTCGTCTGTCTTAAGAAGTTTCATTTGTTGTCCCAATAGAACTAATCTATTTAAAAGCATCTTGATTCTTGAAGCTGTAAGCTTGATTATATGATTGCATTTTACAACATACGGTATAAAAGGTAAATATTGTAGACCTGATGGTTTCAGTAATGTTGGCTAACTATGGATTTTATCTGTCATTTAAGGTACCAATGGTAACTACTGAATCTGGTTTGCAATACAAGGATATTAATGTTGGTAATGGACCGAGTCCTCCCGTTGGATTTCAGGTATGTATACGAAGAAGCAACTTAATCGGTGCAAGTATTAGGATAACTGGAAATCAAAAGAGCTAAGAGTTTGAGCTACATTGCAAATGAGGAAAAAGTCACTGCCCTCACAAATTTTTAAACACCAACCACGCTCATTTTTTTTTTTTTTTATTTTTCATTTTTATCGAAATAATTGTCGTCATTACATCTTGACCTCATATCTCGTGACATTTTGAAATTTCATATTTTCTTTTCACAACATTCTTTCACATCATTTTTACTATTAAGAGTAAGGAAAGGGTTCTCCACAGCATTTCTTTCCAACCGAATTTTTCCATTTTTCTTTCATGTAGAAAAAGCAGCCTTGAACGAATGTTCTCTGACGTGGTTCACTTTGATTGACATATCATATTCCATCTCAAACAGGTGGCCGCAAATTATGTTGCTATGGTTCCCTCTGGCCAAATATTCGACAGGTATCAGATACACAAATCATAAAATTCCTATTCCTTGGTACCTCGTATGTGTGATCATTATATGTCATATAATGATATAATGAGATTTGCAAATCATTGTCCTTACATCTCTTGTTTCCCACAATTTTGTATTTTGAATTTCATAGTTCACTCGAGAAAGGTCAGCTTTACATTTTCCGGGTTGGCTCTGGTCAGGTGAGATTCTTGTTTTTTGAGGAAATAATCCGGTTTCATGTTCTTTACTCTCAACATCACTTTCAAGATTCATATTTTGACTGAATTATGGAGCACTTGGACATTGAGCATCTTCTTGCTCGTCAATGTTGTTGTTGTTGTTGTTTTTTTTTAAAACTGAAATTGAAATGCTTTGAAAAGGTCATCAAGGGGCTTGATGAAGGAATCCTCAGTATGAAAGTTGGAGGCAAACGGCGACTCTACATTCCAGGACCTGTAAGAAAACATACAAATTAAAAATTAGTCTCTCCCTTTCTTTGAGCATTTAGATACCGTAGTTCACGATGAATATTCAAGAAATGAAAAAGTAACTAACCAATATAGAATGCGGAATTTAATCCAAACTCATCATCAGAAATTCTCTATGATGAAACTTACACACTTACATATACACCAATATATATGTTGTCATGTACATACATTGTTACGAACTGATCGTTATCAAGATGTTGAATTCTTCGACTTTTGAATTTTGCTTGATCAGTTGGCATTTCCAAAAGGCCTGGCATCAGCACCAGGAAGGCCGCGTGTGGCTGCCAATAGTCCAGTCGTGTTCGATGTCAGCTTGGAGTACATTCCCGGACTTGAGGATGATGAGTAAAATATGATCTTTATTTATTAATATTATTGTTATTATTTCTCTCTCAACATTTTCTGGTTCCATTATTTCATTCTTTTAACTTTTGTTATATTTCATGTATAACTGGGAATTATTGGAACCTCTGTGTCAGTGGAGTTTAATGTCCAGTTTTTGTTCCCTATTATGATTCTGAATAAATAAATCTTACATTGTCAGGAAAGGAAAGCAATACCACCTGCAGGGTTGGTTTTTT